TATTACTGGCTTAGCAAGGTAATGGAGTGCGTCTGTGGCCGGAGATCGAACCCCAGACCACCTGCATAATCTGAATAGGCTGCATACGTCTACTGAACTACATCTTTGTCTAGTTATTCCTGTGTCATGGTTATCTTCACTTTGAGGTGCATGGTACTGAGGTGTCTGGCTTAAAGATGAATGACTTACCACAAATTTATTCATATTCTATTTACATCGGAGATGGATTCAGCTGGCAAATATGTATTAGCAACTGAATTTTATAGACAGGTTCACTTCTTGGAAGCGTGCTGAATGGTTAACTTAAGTGAAACAGTCCACTTAGCTAAAATAATATTGACATTATTCAACTAATCAATATTGAAAATAACGGGACAATGAAAAGTCTACTGGTTGAATCATTTTTATCTCATAAGTTTCTAGTTTGTTTTGATTCTCATAAACTAAAAATTCAAAATTGCCTCTTGTAGTACTTGCAGTGAAAACTTTGCAACTAGTGATTTTATCTGGCTCTGACAACATGTATTACTGACATCTTGTTCACAATAACTTGAAAAGCAGTACCTTTGCAAATTTACATGTGACTGTAATAATGAGCAAATTATTAGAAAACGAAGGCATAGAAACTTACTCATCAGAGAGAGATCTTCTCTGAACACATATCTCAACAAATACTGGTGGCTAAGACAGTGATGGTATAAATCATTCTGGTGATTTTTCAGAAGTTGATGCTCATGCTGCTATTCAAGTTACTCAAAATGTGTAGGGGTATTGTACAGAGTTTCCTTTTTCACGTCAATCCATTTTTTCACCTTACAAATTTAAGCTTTCACAAGATGCCAGTTGGCGTGACTACGAAAGTTTAACTGATATTGTTTCACACTATAGTCACTGAATAAACTACCCAAGCCGAAACAGAAAGCTTAAGGTATAAGGTACCTTAGTTAGATGAACATTTTTGGTAGCATAGTTTGACTGGAGGATATCAAAGTCTTACTATTTGCCTAATACCGTATCAATCTTACAACAGTGCAAGTCGAATCATCCTGTTCATCCAGAATACTATTTTGTTGTTAAAGATTAGATTAGGAATTGAAAATTTCTGATGATAAGCGAATGAGCCCCAAACGAGGGAAACTGTCGTCCAGCATTTGTATCACTTCAGTTTAGCTAACAACAACTTCCGCAGGATATCATTGGTATCCACCTGCTCATATCAGAAAGTTATTAGAATATAGTGCCATGAAATTATGCTTTCCTTCTTGATTGCTGTTTATCTATCAAGTAGATCACATAATAAGGTGTGAATAATTTCGATTTCCCAAGGAAAGTGTGGTAAAATTTCGCCTTGAGCAATGTCAATTTCATAAATCAACAAATAATTGGCAAAATTCTCAATTTGCTTTAATCGAAAATTACTCTTTTCTAACTTCTAGTGTCTGACTGTGGCTTCTAACCTACTTTTATAAAATGCCATATCAAATTTCTTTCTGTCATTGAACTAATAATTTTCAACTGTCTCAGTGTCTCTTTCTTTACAATATTCTCACTGCCTTAGAATATCTCTTACAAATCAACAATAACGCTTTACGCCACATCACCAGTGGTATGAATGCAGTTCATATCATTTCAAGTAGTATAAATAATGACTAATTTTTACATATATATTATCAAAACAAACAAATACTCCTAACATTTTATGCATATGAACCATTGAATGAACCAAAATTCTGCCAACAAATTGTCTTGTTTCTCTCAGATTATTAAGTTTGAATTTATTTAATTCATTCTCAACGCAGGAATGAAATCTGGTGAGGATAAAGGTTAACGTGAGATATTTTTGCACACAGTATAACAAATGCCATAACAGATATTCGAGTTGTGTAAAAACGTTGATATAACACCAATGAAACAACCAAACACATAACATCTGATGTGTTTACAACATTCTTCTTGGCAGATAATGCAAAATCAGGTATCTGTGGAAATTCACGTTGCAGTTGACTGCCTGAGTTCGACATATTCAAGTATACTGAGAAGAAAGCACTGCGATTTTGATATGCAGTAACTTATATTCTCGTCCAATCACATCGCTTGAATATGTTTCGACTAGTAGCAATGTAGCTTGATTATTTTCAAAGTGTTGGTCATGGCAACATTTTTATGCATTTCCTTAAGTTTTAGACGGAAAAAGTAATGTCATGAAAATAGTTTAAACGTCTTGAAATACTTTCGTCGTCGGAGTCAAATGACAATATATCTGTATATGTACCCTGTAGACAAACATTATTCTTATACCAAAGAATAAAATATTGTAGATAACCGCAAATGTACTTTCTAAATATCAAAGTAATTTTGAAGTAGATATTTTTTGATCGTGCACAGATGTAGTACATAGCGGTTTGCTACTTCTTACTGAAAAAATGATAAATTATTCACACTTTCCAGTACTTTAAAAGTACAGAACAAAAGCCTGTTGCGGATTACTAAAAATAAGAGAAAAGCAATTAACTCATCATATGAAACCGACTGATGAACTGCAGCAAAAGAAAAGTTTAAGTATGATGGTAATTTGTCGTAAAATTGTCGTAAAAAACAAGCTTGGAAGGGAAAAATTCATGTTTTTCGCTTTGGTAATTACCTTTGAATATGGTAATATTTTAGAAACCATTAAGGGATAAAAATGCTTATAACAGAAAAAATTGTATTGAATTCACACATACAACTTGTACCTCTGTAAATTTAATGAGAGACATGGTTGGTAGATTGAAATCCACTCTCAGAATTTAGAAAAAGCCTGGAAAGATCAGTATATATTTAACGTATGTTTACATTTATGATTCAACTGCAGAATAACTGAGGTAGTTGTTCAGTGAAGACTTGATAGACCCTAGAAATGAAAGTAGAATTTATATGTTTGCTATGAGTTTTATTTTGTTTATTAAACGGATTACACAGTGAAGCAATTGGAGGCATCATAAAACATCAAATTTCAATCGTTAACATAGTATAGTTGATGCTAAACTGTTGAAGGTACTATGCAGTCCCACGCCTAGGCCTTCTGTTTGCTAGCACTTCTCAGCAAAACGTATCTGCAACATCGATGAAATTGACACTAATTTTGAGACTCGAACCCACATCATCCAAGGGTGCGATCAGAAAATTTACCACTAGAGTGAATCATCTAGCTTGGTGGCTAAACCACGAACTTGAGTGATTGAATGACGTCTACAGCAGCACTAATGACTGATCGCTTGACACTAGCTACACCCTAGTGAGCAATCAAAGCATTGTTATTATTATTGCTTTAGAATCCTAGTGATGCGTAAGTCTTCAGCAGCACACCTCCGTTTCGTTCTGTTCTTTGCAGATCTCTTTAACTGGACTCACGACTACCCAAAATCCATCATCTCTTCATACAATATCCTTTATGTCATCCTAAAACCAACACCGAGATAGTCGTTTCCTACCCATATTCCACTCCCTAGCATGCAGTGCGTAAGATAGCACTCAGCGATATTCTCAGCCAGTGCCTGACCCATCTTCATTACCTTCTGGTTCTTGGTTTGTTAGCTGTCAGCGTTCCTTGCTGCTACTCCTTTCTAGTTACTTGATCTTCAGTATCCAGACTGCAAAGGTAGCTGTCGGTAAAAAACTGTAGCCTGTTGGAAACGCTTCCAGTAACGTGCCAAGTCTTTGAACCATATTGAGATACTAATTTGACATCAATTTTGAAAGTCAAAGTATAGTATACTGTATTTCAGAATTCAGATTCTTCGTCTTATCCTTACTTCTCGTTATCAGCTGTTTTAGAATGAATTACTTCTAGCACTTGTAATCAATTTTTTTCAGTTTTATAGTTTGAACAATTAATCTGTTAAATCCGGAATTAGTTTTGTTCTCTGAGCTTTCTGATTTAGTTGCTAACCTTTCATCGTCCTTCTGAACAACATCTTTAGCGCAATATTTAGCATAAAATGAACTGATTTAAATTCTCCCTGATTGATAGAACTGTGTCTCTTGGGAACCATCTTCGTGACTGGTAGTCGATTTACATCTGTATTGAACATTTTTTATCGACTTGTCAGTGGTATGGCGGTAGAATGCTCGCCAATCACGCATGTCGTCCGGGGTTCGGTCTCCGGCCAACGCACTCATTTACCTCGCTAAGCCACTAATAAGATTTGTAAAGAGGGAAGGCTGGACATGAAGCTAGCAACTCCATCCCGTAGAAAAACACAACTACTACCGAAACTTGAAACCTCTAGGGTGAACCCCTATATTCCACTGGGAACGTAAAAGAATTTTTAAAAAAGTTGGCAAATTCGGTCTATTTTGATTGGACACTAGTAACTAGTGCGACGTGTCTAGTCCTTTTTTAGTGCAGACTGAATTCTGTTAGTCAGCTTCTCAATGTGGCAACCATCCTAGATAGCGCGCCATCACGGTGCACATATTGATTTGATGATATTAGATGGTTGGAGGCAATCGTCAGGGAGCCTTGGACCTAGGTTTCGTGCTAGTTGGCACTCGTGTAGATACATCTTGCTGACGAGTACCAGCTAGTACGAAGCCTAGGTCCAAGGCTTCCTGTGGATTGCCTCCAACCATTTAATATCATCAAACTCGATCTATATTAACAGGTTTGTTAATCGCCGATTCAATTGAGTACCAGGCTTCTAGGAACTCTCTGGCACTTTTGGTTTTTCCTCTATTTAAAATTTCGACATTATCCCAATCAAACTGATGTCCACAGTTATCTACATGCAATGATATGAAACAGGTATATATATCATGTCTTTTTATAGCTTATTTGTGTTCTTGGATTCTGATTCGAAGGGGACGCTCACTTTAACCAATGTAATGTCTGTTACAATTCATACAATTCATGTTATCTTCTTTTTCATTTGGATCTTTCGATTAATCTGTTAAATATTATATCAAATAGAATAAATAATGTTGGAAAAGTGACACATAAAAACTCTAATGATTCTACTCACCAATGCTTGTACACCTAAATCAATTTGAAGCCATTCAGAGGAGGATTTGAACTTTGCACACCAAGCTAAACCATTTTGTCTGAATAAACGAGCATTTCTTTCTTCACATCCTTTTACCCAGCTCGTTGGATAAGTTGATGATGCAGTGATTTGCCAATCAGCAATAGTACCTGAAATCATTCCCAATGGATCATCATTTTCGCACTCCTTGTGCAGAACTAAAATTCAGAGGAACGATTGAATGATAACGGAATGTTTTAAGATGAGCATTTTATAACAGAACATGCATTTAAATGACAATTCATTTAAATTAATATAAATTTAAGATATCTGAAATGTTTTCTCTATGCACATATGGATTTAAGGTTCGTTCTTGAATGATGACTCAATTCAGAACTCCGAAAGCGACTTAGATAGTTTGTCACATAATCCTTAAAATATTGAGCTGATCTACGTCTAGCTGCACAAACATTTTTGCAATTATAAATTAAATGCTATTCTGACTGATTACAAACTGCTCGTAAATAGGAATACCCGTGATTCTAACTACAGGTAACTGTGAATGTTGCGCACTAGTTGACTAAAAGATCTCCTTAAATCCAACTCTAAATTTTATAATAAATCTCTAATCTACACAGTTCGAGAAGAGATTTCACCACACTTTCCTTTGGGAACCGAAATTGTTCAGACTACAATATGTGATCTGTCTGATACCATAAAGCGTAATCAAGAAACGAAGCATGAATGCACAGGACTGCATACCACAGACTGATTGTGATGAATAGCTTTATTTCGCTGACATCAGCAAGTGGTGCTTGCTAACTAGATCAAAGTGATTTAAACATTGGAGAGACGTTCCTCTCGTCTAGCGCTGAGCTCACCAGCAGTGTACTTGCCATTATGGGTAAATTTTGTTTTGATAAAGTCTCACAGTGTTATACAGTAATGTTTACTGATGACGTTTCGAGCACAATTTGCTACTGCTTATAATCATATCAAGGTAATCACAAGACTTCCTAAATTCATTTATATAGTTCCATTGTTTTTCACTTGATTTTCACTTGATTTGATTGGTAGTAATATTTTCCATATTTCAGGTATGAGTGATGATTCATTCCTATTGCATGTGTTGGGTGTGGATTCGATGAACAAGGATTCAGTAATCAACCTCTCTCTCCACCTACCTAGATTACTTTTTAGAATTTTAACCCTCTCCCACCCTATTGTGTGATTGTGTTCTGATGCATGCAGTGCAATAGCTGAGCTTTTTTCTAAATTACTTATCTTCTCTGGGTCAACCATTCTTGCCTTAGCTAAATTCTTATGTTCTGACAATCTGACTACCCCTGACCTACTAGTTTGACCTATGTAGTTGACCTCACAGTCATTGCAGGGTATTTTGTAAATTATATTATTTTGTCTAATTGGGTCAACTGGGTCCTTTAACCTACAGAGCTTGTCCCTGAGTGAGTTTGTAGGTTTAAATGCCACCCAAATTCCTGCTTTATTTAGAATCATACGTAGGGTCTCAGATGTCCCCTCTTTATATGGTATAACTGTAGATGACTTATATTCTCTCTTATTTATGTTATTATTACTAGTTTCACAATTATTTTTCTTTTTCTTTTGGCGTTTTTCAATCTTCCTAATGAATTTTAGAGGATAGTTATTTAGCACCAACGCCTCTTCTATCTGTTTCATTTCATCATTTAAGTCTTTTTTTGTGCTACTTAGTGCTATTGCTCGGTTTGTTAAACACTTAACTAAGCCTGCCTTAACAGTTAAAGGATGAGATGAATTAAAGTCTAAATATCTATTAGAATGCGCTGGTTTTCTATAAACACTAGTGTGTAGTTTGCCTTCTATTCGTTTTATTTTGCAATCTAACATAGCTAATTCTCCTTGTTCATTTTCGGCTTCAAATGTGAATTTTATTCCCTCCACTAGTGAGTTTATGTGTGTCAAGAAGCTAGATATATGTCCTGTTTTTAACACTGTGTAAGTGTCATCCACATATCTCCACCATATTTTTGGAGTAGGATTAAACGTATTAAGTGCCGTATTTTCCCACCTACCCATAAATATATATCTGCTACGATAGGGGATATTGGTGATCCCATTGCTACACCTTCAGTTTGTCTATATATGTAAATGTATATGTTTATATATATATATATATGTATAACACTGTGAGACTTTATCAAAACAAAATTTACCCATAATGGAATTACATTCTACCACAGTGCACAAGTTTTATTCTTATAGCAGTGTACTTGGTTTGACCCAGCTCAGAGAGCTGGATCAGTTCAAACCATCCAATTGTTCGCCCTATGATTTCTTGACGACTTATTTTCGTATTAACTGATTTGCTAATGTCTCTATTGTCAGTAAATCAATATTATTTTTACTCAGAAATAAATTACAGTTTTCTTGAACAAAAGCAGCATTACTGGCATTGAAGGATAGCGCAACATTTAGAAAGTCACCGACTAACTTTGTCACTGGCTCAAGAGTGAAAATACACCGTATGGTAACAATTTATTCTAAACCGCAGATTACACACAGTAAAATATTTGTTTTCTGGTGAGCTAAATACTTGACTACTGTTCCAGATGTGAAGTGAAAAAACAGTGAATTAGTAACAGCGTTTCTTTTTCTTTGTGCATATTCATTACACATTCATATTATTATTATTATTGTTAGAAATTAAACTATTCTTCGATGAAATGATAATTGATTCTGTTCTTAAACTGATGTCTAGAAGAACTTCTACGAATATTTTCACCAAATGATAACTGATATCCCGTGTACAAGAGGTGGCTCTCACGGCCTAAGTGACCTGATGGCTAACACTCTAACATTTAAAACTATGGTCGCTGGGTCCTTCTGTCATTAGGAACATTATCCCTCATTTGAAATGCAGGTACATTGGAATGACGAGTCCCAAACAGGAAAAAGTGCGAATTCTGGATTCAACTACTAGCCTTAGAGGAAGAGTGAAATAGTCGGGTTTCTAAATACATGTAACGATGACCAAGGTAAGGAAAGTGGCTGCACAAATTCCTTTTGAACACACTGGTTTGGCTTCTTCAAGTGAAATCCTATGGCTTCAGTTTTATATAGAAAACGAACTCTTAAAGTAAAATTAAGATTAGTTGAAATGCAATAAATAATTTTAATTGCTGTATTAACATCAACTTTATGCTCACTATCTACATGGCGTGCTAAAACAGAGCTACGAATAGACCTTGTCTGTCGCTTGCTCAACCATGCATGACAATGTTCGGAAATGCGATGGTGCCTAACTGCATGCCCAATGTAGCTAGCTCCGCAACTGCAGTCAAACTGGTAGGTAGGCAGAGATGAGGTGAAATTAAGTAGTTTGGCCTTATTTCTCGATTGTAAAATTGGAGTGTCTGTCAAGAGACAGGTCTTTTGACTGCATTCTTCAAGCTCTGTTTTACTGTTTTGCTGATGGTTATCACCAAGGAACTACAGTTTTGTGAACAAGGGCATTTTGGCTATGTCGCCTTGCTGGTTTACTTTGGTGCTAAATTCATATTTTTCTCAATGAACTTATCTGGATTACAATTTTTTTCATAGTGATTTTTATGATAATTTTAGGCTCTTCCTCCCAGCTCTACGAACCAAACACTTCACCAAGTTCCGTTAATATTTCAAAGTTGCAAAACTCAAAACATGAGTGTACTGATCTGTTGTTGTAAGTTTCTTATACACACTTTTTCTTAGTGCATCATCCTTCTTCCTGGTCAGAAAGACGTCTAGGAATGAGATGCTTTCATTACTTTCTTTCTCTGTGGCAAAGTTTATTGCTGGATGTTCATCACTGAGCTTGTCGAGGATGCTTATTGCTTCATTCACGTTTTTCATGATCAGAAATGTATCATATCGACAGTAGAATTCCAACTCGTCAATGATTTACTGAAAGAAGTAATCAATGCTGAGAAATCTATATCATTAAAGTTAAGGCACTTTCTTTAACCATGGATTCGAAATTCACTGGTATGAAAAATATTATGAATATGCTGCGAAATGAAAGAAGCACTATCAGCCTTCATCATTCCTGTGACTTAAGAAATAAACTGTAGTACGAGCACACATAAGTAAATTACTGAGATTTTCATAAATGCGATTCATTCTGTACATAGAATGATTGAAAAATGAATCAAGTAGAGTTGCATTTCAGCATATGCTAATCATTTTCATTTTCGGTGGCACAGTGGTTAGGACGCTCGCTGACCATGCACATGGTTCGGGGTTCGATCCCCTGCCGCCGCACACCTGATATCAATGGTCGGCCTGCACAATTTGGGCTACCGATATCACGTGCTGAAAATTTCATATTTATACCAAAAATACTGTGTGGTTTCAAGCTATAATAAAATTAAAATAAATAAATAGTAACCATTCACGAAACGACTCCATGGATATTCTCTATAGTTTGAATTTTAGCTCGTTTACTTGAAATAAAATCACTTCCGATAGACGTGATTTGAAACACTGACTGCAAATTCTCCTTGGAAATACAAAGCGGATGAGAACTTATAAAATGCAACCGTAATTAAAACGTTTTCAGCGATCATTGCTTCACATAGTATCATCTACAGATCAGTAGTAGATTTCCTTATTCGCTAATTCATAAAGCTATTTTTAAGGGCGTCTTATAGTTTGCATTTTATCGAACCCCAGTGGGTGTGTTCTGATGAAGAGCCCCAAAATAGGACGAAACAGCTGTCCAGTATTCCCAGGTTTTCCAGTGGTTCTCTAACTAATGTCAGCTCATGATGAAATCCTCCATGTAATAATAATAGTAATAGCTGTACCCTAGACAGGACTTTCGGTACATAGATGGAATTTTCAGCATGCAAATGCAGTATTGCATCTAGTTATCTCATTACAGAGGTAATAATTAAAATAGGACATTTATACTCATGATATTGTTCAATAGGGAAATGAATATAAAATTAATTTAGGTGGAAATATTAACATCAATGTAACGATGAAAGCAAAGAAACAGTGCCGCTTACTTAGACCTCCTTGGTGAGTTGATAGTTTTTTGCTTTACACTTTTCTCATCACATAAAATGTGTGCCTACTAAATGAGGTATTGCAGAGTTTTTGTACTTAGCCTTCATAATATATAGTCTTTTGTATTTGCTTCTAGTTCTACCTGATGAGTTCCAAGGAGGGAGTTGTGTATAGAGGGAATACTCAGTCAGAGTCGGACAAGATAATATTTGTTAATTTCTTTCTTGCAGCAGTCCACGTATCCTTCTACAAGAGTATTATCGAATTGGTTTAGCAACATCCCATTCGCCCTACTGATGGCCTCTAGTGTTTTTCACAGTATAACAAAATCTTCCCTAAGTAGTCCGGAAAAGATTAACGGGGAGTAGTAAAAATAAATAGGCAGAATGCAAGAATTAACAAACGGTAACAGTGGAGACTGAATGATACCAGATCGTCTTGACTTCCATAAGTTGAGCTTCAAACGAAATATCTTTCTGGAAACTAACATGACATGGAAGACCAGTAAAAATCTGAAGAAATACACAGTGCAAGGTATTTAACACCCGATTTAGTTTCAACTTCTGTGTCATCTTTGATAGTGGAACCATGAGAACCTACCAGTTCATGCAAGTCATACTTGCGTCTGAAAGTGAAATTAACAGCCTGACATTTGGAGGGATTAAGTTTAAGACCATTTGACTATTGCTCACGTATCACTAGAATGGGTGAAATATTTTCCGGACTTTATATACAGGAAAATAAATACCCATGAAGTCTTGCACAAACTACTTCGTCTGTAATTTGCAAACATCTTTTTACGTAGTGTTCATTTAACAATCGACATGATCATATGTCAAAAATAGCCTATTTTTACATCGATCACACTAAATTCTTCAGTTGTCAAACCTTCATTCAACATTTAGACATCCGAAATCCAGTTAAATATTATTGATACATATGCCTTGAGAGCAAACCATGGAAAAAAAATTGGTAGAAATTGTACTATGACTACCTAATTTGTACTTTCTTTGATTTTAACAATGTAAATCGCTTAATAGTCGTCATGGTACTAAATCTTTGAGAATATTTGAGTGCGAAGATTTTTACTTTGTCTATAAATTGTATTATTACCATTTAAGTTTGTCCCCTTAGATTGCGAATGAAAAATAGGGCTTCGATAGCACATCTCCACTTTATCCTCCTCTGCAGTCCCCTTTAGTTGGCTGGAAGATTACCTACAAGATGGCATTTTCTCCGAGCAAGATCTTATGTGTGTTACCCTCAAACCCAAGCCCAACTCGTTGTGTCCCAGCCAGGTTCCACTTGAGGACCTGCTGCATAATTCAACTTAGTAGTCTCAATATGTGTCCAGTTCACCTCCCTTTCCATTGGTACATTTTTTTTAATGTCAGGTCCCTGGTTAGATCGCTGACTGAAAGCATTCCTTTGTATTTATCCTTTTTGGCCAGCCATTCAATCTTCACTATGTAGCGAAAGCAACTATCAATAAAAGTCTAGATTAGCCTGTTGGAAATGCCTCCGGTGACTGACACGACAAGTCCCTGAACCGTACAGCAAAACTAACTTGATATTAGCCTTGAAAATCCGGATACGACCGACACAATTAGTCTTTATTTTGGGTGAAATAATATCCAAAGTGAATTAATGTTTGGACAGGGTGACTTTTAATCAGTAATTTCTAGTACATGAAGTCAGATAGGACTGTAAAGTGCTGAATATCAAAACTGAACTATGACACATACGTATTTTATCACTGCATCGAAATATGCCGAACTTTATGCAGACATTCTACACTTGGCGATAATGTTTGAATCTAAACTGGAAATTTTAGTATCTAACAGCAGTTCCCCACTAAACCTACAAGCATATGAAGCTTGGTAACTGTCTACCTACGTTAGTCTGCAATCTAAATGAGAATTATTGATTAAAGATCCCAATTAAAAACTTTAAAAGACTGATTAACGAACAGATTATTCTTTTTTACGAGTTGATCACAGATTGATATCAGTTAGAGAACCATTGAAAACCAGCTAGGAGTACTGGACAGCTGCTGCTTCATCCTACTTTGGGAATCATCGGGAGTACGCACCCACTGGGATTTGAACACAGGACCTTCCGGTTACAAGGCAAGCTCGTATACCATTCAGCCACTGGAACCTGATTCAATGGCTCATGAATTCTAACTTCTACCGATTCGTGATTTAGCGCGACCCTAACCATTGTCGTTGGTGGGACATCCATCCACACACGTGACATCTAATTGGACCTCACTGGTCACGACTTCTCACTAGAACTCCAGGAAACTCCATCCAGTAGCAAGTCACTAGCGAGCATCAGATTAATTTTATATAGTTTGGTTTGTAAGGGTTTGTTATGTTTTTTACGAGTTGATCACGGATTGATATCAAATTAGGATGAAACAGCAGCTGTCCAGTACTCCCTGGCTTTCAATGGTTCTCTAACTGATATCAATCCGTGATCAACTCGTAAAAAACATAACAAACCTTTACAAACCAAACTACAGAAAAGAGTATTCTTCTCGATATGTGCCTCATCAGGTTCTTCAGATATATGTCTATAAGAATCAAAGAATTATTGCTATTAACAATAGAACTGTTTTAAATAACCTCGATTGGGGAATATTCTTTGATTACGCTTCAAAAGCATCTCTGAGTGGTACTATGCATTGAAATGTAACACAAAAATGAATATCGGATAAACTAGGCGAATTAATACAGAACTTATGAATTTTTAGGTTCCAAAGTAGGCCAGTTTAGCAAAAGTCGCTAAACCTGTTTTAGATTTGAACTCAGAGCTCCGGTTGTTTTAAGTGAATCACAATTGTCTGTGCTGGCAGGAATGTTCGGTATTAGGAAGTTTCTGGCAGTTTATTCGGTGTTGGATAGATGAAAGAAAATGACTCTTCAAAAACAGCTTTGTGGCCTGTTTGGATGAGATAATCTAATGTAGAAATATTGATGGGTTTTAAGTACACCCTTACTTAGTGAAACTGACAGGCGTTCCCTAGCACGAAAACTTAAGTTCCTAAAGCAACTTTTTATTCCTTTTCGCCCACGGTGGAACATAGGTCTTCAAGCTAGAGCTTCGGACTTTCATTAGCAGCGGTATTGTTCACGAGGAGAGGTTGCCAGCCTCACGCCAAATTGTTCTTTCTTTACTGGGCTTATTACCAGTTAAGCGACGTTAAGGTATTCCTTGGCTGGGGATGGAACCCCGGACCACTTGCGTAGTTGGCCAGTGTTCTACAACTAAGGTGCCACTGCTAGAGCTCCGTAGGGTGATGGTCAACATAAAACTATAAATGTTGTAAGTAACAATAATGATTTAATTATTACGGACATATAACTGTATAACCTAATAAAGAAGTAGTTCTCGAAAAGAATATTCTTTGTTCACTAATCAGCCTTCTACAAATTAATTAATTACAGAAGAGTTACCTATTCGTAGATTTCACAAGACATTAGTTTGTTAAATGTTGACCGTTGACTCACCTGAGTACGATTCCTGAACATGTTCATTGAGACCATGTATTATTGCCAATTGGCACACGAAGAGAATTGAAATAATATGTAGCAATAAGCCATATTTAAATGGCGACAACTTCAAACAATGGCATAAAGAGAATTGTTTAGTCATGCTTCGTTCCTTATGTGTTGATTTGTTTTTAATTAAAAGATGAAATCACTATGATTTATTATATCCAGTTAAATAATCTGTTTATCAATCGTTCGTATATCCTTTTAATTTAGCAAGTAATATGTAATATGTTGTATTTTAACAGATACTCTACCAAATTCCATATCTTATTAAGAGTTGACAGTTCTATTGTATGCATAACGTGAAACTGTAGTAAATAATCGCCTTGGGCAGGTAATTTGTCTAAATATTCAAGTTGTGTTTCTTTATATTTTATTTTATATTAGTGTTTTATGAGAATAGACATTGGTCACCACCATACACTGGATTGTATTTCCCACTTACATACCCACTTGTGATAAATACACACAATGGCACACACTATAGACAGACGCAATAATCATATTCACATATGTGTGTGATCAAACAAACAAAAACACAATAGAATTAGCACAGAAAACTTCTGTGCTCCTTAGGTATTTTGTTTTTTCAGTGCACAGCACTAGTGTAAAATCATCATCATTTACGCCTACACACAATCAAGTGAATTCAACCAGTAGGTGTGTAGTAAAAAGAGAACTATTTTGTTTTACACAACTCTATATTCTACGAATTCATACACTGTCATCTTTATTCAAGTGTTGGTTTGTAGGGATTTGATTGGTTACAGGATTTTCATCATAAGCTGACATTAGTTAGAGGACCATTGGAAAACCTGGGAGTACTGGACAGCTGTTTCGTCCTAGTTTGGGAGTCTTCAGCAGCACGCACCCACCGGCATTCTCTAACTAATGCTCACTAGCGACTTGCCCTATTCAGGTAGATAGTTACCTGGGGTTCTAGTGAGAAGTCGTGACCAGTAGGGTGCAGGAGGTCGGGTGTGAGGACAAATACTCACCGAAGACATTGGCTAGGGGTCGCGCTATGTCGTGAATTGGCAGCAGTTAGAATTCATGGGCCATTGGATCAGGTCCCAGTGGCTTAATGGTCTACGAGCTCGCTAGCCTTGTAACCAGAAGGTCCTGGGTTCGAACCCTGGCGGTGGGTGCGTACTGATGAAGAGTCCCAAACTAAGACGAAACAGCTGTCCAGTACTCCCAGGTTTTCCAATGGTTCTCTAACTAATGTCAGCTCATGATGAAAATACTGTCATCTTTATTTTGCATACCACATCAAGAAAGGGACCTCATATAAAATCATAATCTTAGAGTGGTATAATTTAATTGGTGGATGGTGACTAGCAGTGGAGTCCAGGATGTGCATTTCGTCCTATTTAGGACTCGTCATCTGGTACAGTTAACACTAGAAAAAGGTGTAAATACCAGTAGTTTTCTAATCTCATCTTAGAGAAATAAAAGGGATGATAGAAGGAGTTAAAATAGTTAACACTAAAAAGTCAGAACAAAGTAGTTAAAAGGAAACATCAGTCATAAATGGTAAGAAAGAAAAATTACAAATAAACTCCAATGTCATATTTGCAAGAAAATTCCCTTGAAATCTTCGATTCTAATCGGGTTCTCCCCTAACGTAGAATTTATAATATGCGGTTATTAAATATAATTTTTCGATCTTTGAAATTAATGTTTACAACATTATGATCATAATTTGAATTCGTGTTATCTAGACGCTAAAAAATGGCGTCCTGCTTGAACATAGGGCTACCAAAACTCGACCTTACAACATTTTGCAAAATTGCTTTGGTTTGCTCTTTTAATTTTGTTTTAATTTATCAATAATGTGTCCTAATCATATTATATATAATCGCGTATTTTCAAAATCATTACAACCTACTGCGTTGTGTCATCCACAAAAATTGAGAAAAAAGCATCACTGTGGATGGCAGCGTGCACTGGAACGTACACAAATTAATCGGATGACTGTTCCTGAACTCGTTAGCACTAATTGTAGATCCCTGTCCAACAAAATGGATTATCTCCAACCCCTAATGTATTCTAATGTTTATCGAAATGCTGGCGTTTTAGCAGTACAAGAGACTTGGCTGCACCAGCATTATGATGATAATCTAGTTTCAATAAATGGATATAAAGTTTTTCGCCAAGATAGAAAAAGTTCTAAGAAAAAATATGGAGGAGGAGTAGCCACTTTTATAAACACAAGTTGGTCTACATCAAATCACGTTTGCTTCAATTATTCTAATGACAATATAGATTGCATAACCGTCAGGTGTCGCCTAAAACGCTTAAGTAAATATTCTTATATATACATAACAAATATTTACATAACACCCAATTGTAGCCTTTCTAATATAGTTAGGTTTGCAGATGAATTTACTGAATTCACTGCTCCTGCATTCGGAAACTCTTTGTCTATAGTCTGTGGTGATTTTAATTCATGTAATCACAGCTTTCTTACTTCACTTGGTCATGAGAATCTAGTCAAGTTTAATACACGTCTGGACAAATCACTAGACCTGGTTTTCATAAATGAACGTGATGTATATGAAACCCGAAAGAGAGCTCCTTTGCTAAACTCTGACCACTGGCACGAGTATTGTGTGAAGAGACAAATATCAGAAAAGAACTTTTGCAACTTTTAAATCATTAACTAAACTATAAAATGTAATGATGCATATTAATGCATGCGTTATTTGTTATATTATTTATGTATTATTCACTATGGTGTGATTTTGTTGGGGTTTTATTTTTTCCTATTAACTATCAATGCTTTAACATTTTATACATTTATATAATTATTAACAGAGCTAAGCCAACTGCAGTATGTAAAAGAAACGCTGAAAATTCCATGCTGTAAATTGTTATTGTTGTGGAATGAAGTGATTATTATTATTATTATTAAAATAAACTAACTACTCATACAAGTGTCTTAAATAAAGACGTAAAATATGTTGGATAATAAATAATAATTTCATGCTCCTTTGATTTAAAAGGAGTGGAATTATTGTTATATTTTATGTATGTTGGTGTGTGTATGTGTAAAATCTAACCTTGCGAAATTAATTCTGTTTGTTAAACATGTAAAATAATTTTGAGCAAAAACAAGAATACATTGACCAGGATTAAATGACGTTATTATACTTCCTTAGTTCTGGTCAGCTGTACACAAACACAAACTACTTCAAATCAATATACAAAGCATTCGTACACATCAACTTGAAGGTAGAGGCAATTCAATTCTTTTGTGAATTAAATAGTCAAAAAGAGGAGTTTCCAATGTTAGATTGTGATGTAAAATAGGAAAGAAGATGGGAAGTTAAACAGTAGTGTTTACAGGAAACTCCGCACATTCAAACATATATTTGGATCTCCGATCATCACATCCTACGTCAGTAAAAAATAGTATTGATGAAATGTTTAAGTAATAGAGCACAAAAACTAAGTAGTACCAAGGAAAATTTAAGAAAGGAAGTGAGGCATAAAAGAGAAGCTTTGAAACCTAATGATTACCTTGATAAATTAATCAGAAAGTATGCAGGGAAATGTGAAAATCAAAATAAATAATGATATTAATGATGACATGCATGTCAAACATGCTCAAGATAATGACAACACCAACAATAAGTAATCTAAATCATCAATAGCAATTCCATACGAAGAAGGAACCTTGGAAACCTCATGCAGAATTCTTAACAAGGAAGGAATAAAAGTGGCTGGCATTCAAACCCACAAACTCAATTAGAAACAAGCATTGTCAGTTAAACGATCCTGTGGAGCCTTTAAAATAAAACAATTTAGTTTATCTAGTAGCCTGCAATGAATGTCAGATCAAATGTACAGAACAGAGTTGTAGGACATGATCAGTGACACTCGTGGAGCACAAAAACCTAGTTAAATTTAGATTAGCTGCCCCCAATTTGATAAGAAATCTAGAGAATAGTTCAGCTATAGCACTGAACACATGCAGTTACACACAACCAAACAATAGGATGGGATAAAATGACAGTTTTAAAATCTAATGTAACAGGGTGGAGGAAGGGAGTGATCGGTAACGGAAGCTTTGTTTATCGAATGAACTGCAAACACGTGTAATAGAAGTGATTCAGCACCTGTCCCAGACATCTGGAAAATTCTACTAGCCCTACGACAGAGAGGAGAAAACAAAGAAAACTATAAAACTCAAGTTTCGGAGTTGTGTGATTACAGTTGATGAAATGATTATGAACAATAAATTGTGTTCGAAATGTCGGCCATTAAATAATGATGTTTCACTGCTATATATCTAATAAATAAATTAGTATGGAACTGTAGTTACTCACTATAAAGTTGATAGCAATTAATACCGTGTGATTAAGTAACATAATGGGAAGGAACAAAAGTCGATGTTAAACTGGTTAGTATGTGTTGAAATAATCAAGAAACAGTTTAGAATTACGGATGAATGTTACGCATTGTCTAACCTCGCCTAGTTAACTATCTAACAACACCACACCACTAAATCTTTCAAACCGTTAAAGAAACTTTGACACACAAAAAATAGATTAATAATACAAAAACTTCAAATAACAACAATCTTATTCTTCGCTCGAATTGGAGAGGCAAAATGACACAGAGGGCTACTGAAAGCCTTTGGAAAACCAGTCATTCAGCTCATTTGTCTTTTCTAAGTGAAAGCAAGAGTAAGAATGGGGATTTGGAATGTCTGTACAATGTACGAGACTGGGAAGGCTGCCCAGGTAGCACAAGAGATGCAAAGATATGGCTTGGAAGTACTGGGTATCTGCGAAAGCAGACGAAATGGATGTGGATTGACAACACTGTCAACGGGGAGACTCAATAATCTACTCCGGTCTTGTCACCCAGATGACAACCACGAACATACTGAGGCAGTGAGTGGATATCATGATATCACCAATGGCAGCCAAAGCCCTAATGCAGTGGGAACCAATTTCATCTAGGATTATGACATCAAGATTGAACTCAAAAGAAAGGAAGGAAGGTTACAATTATCCAATGCTACAAACAAAGCGGAACAAGAAAAGAAGGAGGATTTCTACAGACAACTACAAACATTAGTGGACAACATACCAAAAGACGAAATCAAAATCCTTATAAGCAATATGAATGCCCAACTGGTAGCAGAAAACAGAACAAAGTGGAGATGTGTTGTTGAAGCCCTATGTTCCACTTGGAACTCAAGGGAATAATAATAAGTTATGCATTGTCTAAAAGATAACTAGAAATCGTACTGCAAAGCAAATTTGCACCTATCAGACGCACTTTTCTTGTAATATGCTTGAATGTTCAGTGATAGACCCTCTATTTATTCAGTGCATTAAAATCTTTTAGGA